CAGTACTCACAAAAAGACAAGCTTTTCATTAGCCAAAAATATATAATATATTATTTTTAATTTGTATATATTCAATAATAATGGATAAATCCACATAGGACAAAGTCTTCGAAGTTCAAAATAAGGTTAGCGTTTACAAGAAATGATTAACATCTTTAAATATACCTAACGTTTTGCTAAATCACCGTGCAAGTACTGTAGACAAATGTATTAAGACTATGTAGTAACCAACAAATTGTTAAATATAATACATTACTATGGTACATTGAGGTACACAACCGGCTTGCGTGCAAATTCCATCGGTTAAAACTACAGCACGTTTTACGCAACATCATTATTTCGTTATATATTTCTAATCGATGATATTTAATACAACTGTAACTTGTAATAGAAAACAAATTAAGCGGAAAATGTTCTTTTTAATATTTTTGGTGATTCATTTAGGTTATTTTAAGGAGTATTGTGATGTATTTTGTTGTAAATTCTAATGCCATTTTTAAACATATACACAATTTTAATTTCCACTTTACTTTCTTACTTTACCATTCTACTTTACCTATTGTTATATGTTGAGTTGATTGTATTATTAATGAAAGAAACACTTTTGGTCTAGATCTGCTTGTAGTGTGTTGTATGCTAATTATATCAGTTTATTTTTTATAATATTGTTTTACCAATATATGTAATGAGTTTATTTAAAAGACATCATGCAATAACTGTCCTGCTGAGTTGGTCTATCGTGAGACCACTTATGTACGGCTAGCAATACAAAGATGTTTTGTGTTGAATAGGTAGGACTAGAAATAAAATAAAGAATAAATACTTGAGTTTTGTTTTAAGATTTTCTTATTTCGAAAGTAATAACACACCGAGATAATATAAAATGTTCATTTAATTATAACAATTACTTGCAACATAAGAACTGTATTGTAAGTCATCCACAAAATATAATTTTTTGCTATTTAACGTGAGCTGCAATATCATAGTTAACCTTTGATCCGATTTTAATTCTACATATTTTTGTTGTTATTGCATTACAGGCATTAGCGTTTGAAAATATTTTTGCGGAAGCTGTAAACTATCATTTTAGGTTAAAAACATGGAGATTTAGGATTTCCCCAGTAAAACAACCAACATAGCATGACCGTGAACTTTTTTATAAATAAGATAAGGAAATCTGATATTACAGAACAATTTGAGTGTACCAAACACGCCACACTACAATATTCATATTTTATCTATTCAAATATTTATACATACTTAATTATAATTGGTAGTGTGTAGTACTTTTGTATCTACGTCAATATTGTTTTTTGGATGTTATAATTGTGGTTCATTTATGACCTTAATTACTCATAGTCGCGGCTGAACATAAAAAAATAGATCTAAATACATTACATAAAAAGGAGTTCATACTTGAAAACCTTAAAAATAATGATAGTTTACAGCGTTTTGGAATTATTATAAAATTATGACTTACCGAATCCAGCCATCCTAACATCTTGGATCCTGTAAATCTTTGTGATTGGCGTGTACGGGAAATGTTTACTATATAATTTATTTGTCGACTTTAAATGATCACCCTAAATTGCGTGTATTTAAAATGATTTATATAAATCGACAGGAAACTGAAACAAATCGAGTTGTACAGCGTACACGTCAAACATTGTCAGATACCTGCTTGACTAGATATCTAAAGTCAACAAACATTCTGATACTTAACCCTCAAGCACAGATTTGTAAAAACGAATATCCGATTCTGAACTCAATTAAAGTATAGATTTCTGAAAAAACAAATTGTACTTGTTTTTTAACCGTTCTTTTGTTTTTGTTATCTCATCTACTAATAATTTCATGAATAATAGCGGCAATACTATAAAGCATGTCTAATCATTTTGTTTTTCGTTAAAAGTACGTCACAATACTATGAAAAGTCGTATTCATTCATAACAAAAACTAATTCATTGTTATTTAAAGGAAAACAGTATCGTTCCAGTTTTTTATTATCTACTTATATATCGACTACTTCTTAGTAAAGCCCGCGATTAGCGATTGCTATATCATAAAATCAAATGTAGTAATATAATAGGATTAAAATGAAACTAGGACATTTCCATGCGATAAAAAGGCGAATAACCATTGATAAATTAATACTACATACAAATCTTTATTGATTCAATGACGTACTTGTCGTTAAATGGCCTTTATTTAGCACACACGCCATGTTTGTAAATTGCACGAATTTAACATTGTAATGTGTGTAAAGAGGAATGCAACGAGCTTAACCGAAGCGGTCACGTGCATTTTGCAGTTGATAGCATTGCAAAACAGTTCTGGTATCGAATCTAAACATGTTTATTGTGTAAAATATACTATATTTCCGACGAGGAAGCGATAAAAATACATTAGCAGCGACAAAAGTAAGTACAATATAATATAATAGTGATTTTTAATCATGGGTATTTTATAAGTGCTCTAATATAATCTATATCCAACTGTTAAAAGTTGCATAATTCTAACAAATCATCACTGTCGTCAAAGAACAATCAACTCTATGTACTATTACATAAAATATAGTTTTATATTCTTTTTAAAACTTTTATTATGCGAATGGCTAATAAATCAAATAGGTAGTACAAGCAAACTTGATGTACATGCATGTAGGTATACTTAAAACCTTAAGTCGTGGAATGTCAAAAGTATATTTTTTTTAGCCGTGTCATTGTATTAATTTTATAGTGTACTTTATTCGCTTACAATAGATAACTAGTATTTTGTATTCGTTAATTTCGTTAAGCAGTATTTCCGTACTATCATGTACATCACAATAGCATGTATAATAGTTACTACGTTGGGGGTCAAATGTTCAAAAGTTCACTGTATAAGTAAAAATTGCTATTAATGCCCCGATTCAGCTTTGTTATGAAATTTGTTTCCTTGTAACGAATAGGTCAATAGTAAATTTGAATTCTACGAAAAAATTGAATTAAACAAAAACACCTTGTTTACTCCTGCACTCCTATACTAGCACCAAAATACGAGTAGCTGGTAATCAAATATTGAGTTATCCAATTAATTTATTCTTGAACTTATTACCATCAGCGTGATTATATAATCAAATCATCTATAAACTAATTACTATTAATTAATTATTATTATTTTAAGTGTTAAATTGGAATAATTATCTACGCTTCTTACATTTGATTGCCAAAGTAGCACAGATAATATTTTTCTTTAATTAGTTTTTTTTGGACTTTACCTTTCTCAACTTATATAGCATTACACTTTGAACACAAAATTAATAAATAAAACTACAACAAACCAATAATCTAGTTTCTTAAACAATTATTTTACAAAAACAGTATACTTCGTTAGACGTTCGTTAATATGGTTTATTTACATTGTATTGTTTTTAAAAGACTAAATAAACTATATTCAATAACCGTTGGCTTAAAGACGTACTATTAAATTATAATGTATTAGTTGTATCATTATCATAAAATGTAATGCTGATAATTTTTTCGGACAAAATGTATTGTTGTTCTTATCCAACAAAAATAGTATCGGATTCATATATATAGTAATATTTTTTAAAATATTACCATTTTTTTTACTATGAATCGATTTTGTTTTATCACACACACACACACACGCCTAAATAGTAATATAATAATATTTTTGTTACTTAAACTTTTTTATTACATCGACATTTATTATTTTGTAATATAGTTTAAATCTTATCGAAATCAGTATAATAATACAAATGAATTTAGTTCTGCATGATAACAAACATATTATCGTATTATTAGGATAATGAATAAATGGAGCAAAGTACTAAAAACAATGTATTGAAACTCCGCAGGTTTTAATAATTAATAGCAATTCGAATCAATAGCAATTGCGTTTAAGCTACATACATGTATGTTTGTAGTTGCAAAATAAAATAAACTGTCGATATTGGTCTAAAAAATAAAATATGTTTTATTTTCTTTATTGTTGTGCGTGGCCAGTTCATCTTTATCTTAAATATATTCAAATGTTTATTTTATGATCAATATTTTAAGTTATTCGAAATTAGGACTTAGACCATGATAATTATATACATTATGATTTGTAGGTAGCAATTTTATTGTTAAAAAAATCATATTTTTGAATTATTAATCTATAATTATCGTGTAAGGTACTCTGTGTTACTCGACGCTAGACGCGTAACGAAGGCGATTAGAAAATTCATAATTAACCGTTTACCAATAACATTATTATAAAAACGCGAAAATAAGTGCTAAACCGGACATCGAATGGTATATGCCTATAAGTATATATATTCTGTACCTTGAAATAGGAATGTTTATTTTTCTACGGTTACAATAACAGAGCGATGTACTAGTTATTGCAAATACGACCGATAATTGTAGTTAGCGAAAGTTCCAACCAGGCGTGTTTCTGGTTCGGGACATATTTTGTTATTATTATCAGTATTTTTATTATTATCGTTTAGAAATCTGTCTGCTAACAATTAATATTTGAATTTGTTTTCCTATGTTAGTTTTATTCCCTGTAGGACTCGATCAAACAACTGGAAACGTACCATATTGAGGATGTGAGAACATTGTTGGCGGAGTTTGCGCGTGTGTTTCTAGACGAGAAAAAATATAATAAACAAATTAAACCGAGAAAAATGTAAAAATACAAGTAGAAAAATGATTATTGCCGATCGAAGAAATACGAAAAAATATGCGTATACGTCCGATCCGTTGTGGGCGCGTCGTTATTGGGAGGACCCATGACTTGTGTGCGCCAGCCCAATGCTCGGGTGCGTCTGGTCGAGAACGGACGGCCCTAGCGAAATCCGGCGCCGGTGGACAGGAGTAGGGACAGAAAAAAAGGAAGGAAAACGTGTGTACGTGCTCCTCCTCCACATGCCGTAATACCCCGAGACTGGACGGAGAGAGAGAAAACAACAACAACAACAAAATAATAAAAAAATAAAAAATAAAAAAGAAGAAAAAATAATAACCACGCGCGCATACACGTATATCCCTACTATGGGCTTTCAACACCCCGGCACATTATAAAAGACCAAAAGACGTACTCTCCCACGACTATTTTCAAAAGTGATCCCAGCTAATTAACTGTCCGATGCGGTCGCACGCGGTTCCCGCGAAAACCAACGTGTTCACATATCGCTCGTTGGCTACTCGTATTTATTGTTGTTGATTCGCCGACGCAATATTTTATTAAATAATAATAATAATAATACAAATTATTATCATTATTTTTTATTATTATTATTTTTTTTTTTGGTCCTCGCTTTTATTTTTGTTTTTGATCTTGCTGTTGTCTGTGTATAATGGCCGAGACCATAATGGAAGACTGTGGGTACAGCCGTGAACTGTGGCTGAACGCGGCGGCCACTACGCTGGGTCTGACTTATTCGGTATATCGACAACTGAGGGCCGTGCAAACGCTGCCGCCCGGACCGTGGGGTGTACCGTTTCTTGGATACGCGCCCTTTTTGCCCAACCACAGTACTTACTTAAAATACAACGAATTGGCCCGCCGGTACGGACCCATATGCTCTTTCACGCAACGGGGCAACACCGTTGTGTTGCTCAGCGACCACAAGCTCATCAAGACCGCCTTCGACATGAAACAGATCACCGGCCGGCCGAGCGACGGTTACATGGACATCATTGGCGGATACGGTAAGAATACGTTTTGTAATCTAGCCAATTTTTTTTCACCCGGCAAATTGAAAATAAATTATATCCCGTTCGTCTTTACTTTATATTATAAATATTTTGAGAAATCCTGTCGAAATGCTCTACGGCGTAGTACGGACATTTATTTTATCGTTTTAACATTTCCATTTAAGTATTTTACACATGTCCTCCGGGTACCGACGTCGCTACGTTGAATATTTTAAAGCAGTGTCGCAATTTTTTTGACATACTAAACGCCGGCACAATATTAATTATTAAATAATCACGTGGCCACGACTTAGTTACACAACTATCGCGCGCGCACACATACAAATACACATACACACACATACACATACACACACACGCGCACATATTGTCATACGCGTGCGCAAATAATGATAGCTAGAAAAACATTTTTTTTTAAAAACCTTGTCATTACCGACTGGATTTACTAGAATAATTTAATAAATAATTGTTTTTGTTCACTATAGGTGCCGTCAATAGCACGGGTAAATTATGGGAATCTCAGAGGAAATTTCTGCATCTCGTGCTGAGGCACATGGGTATGACGTTCACCGGTCACAATCGGCTAAACATGGAGAACAGGATCATGGTGAGTACACTGGATAAAACCAACAAAAATAAAAACCCTCTGCCTTAGATTACCGCGTTACTGATTGCGAGTTGTTTTTCGTGTACGCAGATCGAAGTGTCCTCGTTGACGGAGACGTTTCACAAGACTTGCGGCAACCCAATCGATTTGAACGCCGGGTCATTGTGTCTGGCTATCACCAACGTCATCAGCTCGTTGACAATGGGCGTACGGTTCGAACCAGACGACCCGAGGTTCGCGCGGTACATGCATATGGTAGACGAGGGCTTCAAACTGTTCGGCATGCTCAGACCGGTCAGCGTGTTCTCGCCTAGGCGACATGTCGACGACGAACGGCAGATACAAGAGAAACTCAATCAAAACCGACAGGAAATCGCCGACTACTTTCAGACCATCATCGAGGAACACCGGAACACGTTCGACCCGAACTCCATCAGGGACTTGGTCGACGCCTATCTGCTGGAAATCAAAAACGCGCAGGACACGGGCACCATGGGACAGTTGTTCCAGGGTCTAGATCCGGACCGACAGATCCAGCAAATACTCGGAGACCTGTTCTCGTCCAGCATGGAAACCATAAAAAACACTATGCTCTGGGCAATGGTTTACATGCTCCACTATCCGGATGTAATGGCCAAGGTGCAAGAAGAAATCGATTCCGTAGTCGGTCGGTACAACTCGCCGGTACTCGATGACTATCCACATCTGCCATACACTCAAGCCACCCTGTACGAGGTCCTCCGAAAATCGAGCATCACGCCTTTGGGCACCACACACGCGACGACCAGGTAAATATTCATCTACCGTTGTTGAACATAATTCGCAACCGGGGACAGTTAACTTAAATACATTTTTTTTTTTTGACAATCTAGTGAAGTCACCCTCAGTGGATACCGTATACCCGTCGGCGCTCAAATTATACCATTACAGCATTACGTGCACAACGATCCGAAACTCTGGGACGAACCGGAGGCTTTCAAACCGGAGCGGTTCATTAACGCAGAGGGCAAAGTGAAAAAGCCAGATTGCTTCTTACCCTTCGGAGTCGGTAAGTCGTGTCATAACATCATTATTTCATTATTATCATGCAAATAAAAATTAAATAAAAAAATATTAACCGATTTCGATTTTAACAGGTCGGAGAAAATGCTTGGGCGAAACGTTGGCTCAGATGGAGCTGTATTTGTTTTTCGCCAACATGTTACACGAATTCGACGTGTGTCTGCCGGAAGGAGACGAATTACCTAGCATGGACGGGCAAGCCGGCATTACACTTAACCCTCTATCGTTCAAAGTGGTCGTGAAGAAACGAACTAAGTAATCCGAAAACTTATTTGTATCTTCAGAGCCTTTTGTTCAGTTCCTCTAAATTGTTTGACGGAATCTCATTTCGTCCGAATATTCCTGTTTCAATGTCCACAGTGCCATTTGCGTCACGTTATTTAAAAATAATTATTTATGTTTATTATTTATTATACCTATTGTACGTACTATTATTTTAGGTAAATCAGTTTTGTAATGTATAATATATTTTTTTTATTATTATAGTTTCCTTATTTATTTATTTGTGAATGATTTACTCATTTTTTGTGTAGATATTTTTTTTTTAATGCGGTTGACGTTATTTAATTAAAGAAAATGTGATGATATTCAGTTCACATTGGAATTAAAAGTAATTGTTCTGAAGTATTTAAAAAGTATATATACAATTTCCTATTGACGTGTTATTTAGTTCGTTAAGTGCCATACCATATTATTAAGTATTTAATGTACATTATTCAAATATTGTATTCGATTATTATTGTTGTTTTTTAATATTATAAATAAAAAAAAACTAAACATTATCTTCTTACTATTATTTTACAATTATATACATTACTTAGTGTTATTAGTAAGCGTGACGTAGGGGAATATTTCAGCAACCCAAGTAACACTGACGCCTGTTAGTTTGTCACATTAGCGATTCGGTCAAATGCTTAAAATAGCTACTCTCATAAGTTCTGTTTCTTTAAAAACCGACAAAAAATATTTCGAAATGATTCGCTTAAACAGTAATAACATTAATTTTCATACTACCTTTATCTACAATTGTTGCATAATAATACTTTATGAATTGTTTGTATAGAGCACATTGGCCAACATAATTAAATTACGTTTATATTTTAATTAGTGTTCAATCTGTTTTGACGTCATGAACCCTGATGTTTACATTTTTTTTTATCATGCCGATGCACATTACATTTCTCTAAATATTAATCTATGAATGATAAGTATTGTTAATTGTACGTGTAGGATATTCCAAATGAAAAAATATATAAGTTTCTATTTTTTTATTATAAACAAATATTAAGTATGTATTAAATATATACATTGAGCCTTGGATAATTTGAGTTACTAAAATAGATAAAATTAGAAACATTAATTTCTATCGTTAGGAAGTTTTTGCTAAAAAAAGTCAAATGAGAGAAATAAACAGAAATGTATTAAATATGTTGAACGAACGGGAAATAAAACTAACTGGTAAGTAATCAAAACATTCTTTTTCTAAGGTGGAGGAAACAGAAAGTATGCTGATGTTTGGTAAGAGAAATTATGAAAATTAACCATATAATTGTTTCAATGTCTTCTAGACTTATAAACAATATTTAATCATTTAATTATAATGTTATATAATAATATTCAAAATGTTGATAAATAAGATGAATTAAAAAAAAACATGGAGGGAAAATGGCCCATTTGGATTAAAAAACTGAGGAGTCGCCATCATTTTAACGTTAAAATACCAATTAAGGTCCACATAAACAGCGCAAAATTAATGGCTTACGTTAACAAGAAATCATAAGTTATTTGTTAGATAGATGTCAACTGCGAGTAGTAGATTGATTTTACGCCGCTACTTTTTACATTAGTTATACATATATCAAGTATAGTTGTCTGTTTACTTTAGTGGCCGCTAAAATTTGTAAAATTATCTAGGAATTTTTCTGGAATTTATAAAAAAAATGTTCGTAGAACTTTATATTTTGACATGTATGCTAAACAATAATTATTTTAAATCAAATAACAAACATAATTTATTGAGTACAATTTGGTACAACATACATTTCTAAAAAAATCTGATCTTTGGAAGTATATTTTAAGAAAATTAAAGTTATAATCTAATGGCTAATATAGTTAATGAAATGACTTATGGCACTACTATATAGAGAACTCCAGTGAGTAAAACCTTTATCGTTTTGTCTTACCTAAAAATATAGGGATGTAGGGAATATTGCAATGAATTTAATATGCTTCTGTGTATTTTATAGGTTATTTATTTATTGTTAACTCTTCATTCACTGGCCAAGTCATTAAATGTATTATTTTTCTCCCTCGCTTTATTTTATACAAATAGACCTGACCAGTCAAATCCTATTACTCCGTTCTTTTTTATCTATTACACACATCTCCATCGCTTCTTAATTCGCGAAAAAATCAGCGCGTATTGCAACATACTGTAGTCTACATGGTGAGTATTATGTACCTAACAAAAATAATATTAATGTGAAGATAACATAACAATTTACTACGCAATAATTTGGCGGGAAGACAATTCGACTGTTCAGGTTATTTTAGTCAATAGCCAGCGGCACATTCATTCATTGGATCATGACCGGTCTGGGCAGTTATGTAGGTTATCATAACGTCGTCTGGCAATGTGCATTTTTTTGGTTTTTATGTTTTTTTTGTGAATGCTATAGTTTATTATTCAGGTTCACAGAGCATCATTCAATATTTCACCCCTCTCTTCTTTTGAACCTGTATAGATTAAAACTCTTGTAAAATATATTTAGCTTCAATCAATGATTGCATAATTTGGTGGTAAGCTTTTGTGTAATTAGTCAATCGAAATCTAACTGAACATATTATAATAAATCATTGCAATAGTATATATAAAATATAAAATATTTAGTGCATTAACTGCGCTCTTTGAAAAGATATCGGTCTATTGGGTGCCAATAAGTGTAATTTCAAAAATGTAAACACACAAACATAAATTGTTTATGTTGTATAATGGTTAAAATATTGTAGTCGCGATCAGTGGTAAGTTGCTAACTACCTATATTTAAAAGTACTTATTTGTAATTACATTCGGGATGGTAAATGTGTAATTTTACATTATCGTTCACGCCCACAAATAATATATACAATTATTTAATTATATGGTGTTGCGAAAAGTTGTTATTAGCTTAACTAGTTACTATACAAAGTGATCCACACTAGTGATACACACACACACACACACAGGATGTATAGAATGTTATTTCAACACAGATCATTTTATTGCAATTGCATATCTGATTTGCTCTATAACAAGTCTTACCGTGAAGAAAAAACAGATTTTGGTATAAACATAACGTGTTTTCAACACACATATTATAGTTGTAACTTGTATATAGAATGTACAATAATAAGTGTAATAAGTTATGATACGAAATACCTATTATTAAGCAGGATAGCGTTTAACTTAATATATTTCTTAAAAAAATAATTGTAGAATATATCGATTTAATGTCCAAATGTTTCAGTAACTAAACGAAAAATATAAAATTAATATTTCAAACCTATATATATATATATATATATAATTTTTTTTGTATTAATTGACTATCAACAGTTAAAAATATTTGAATAAAAATTCTACTATATTTAAAAAATATGAACATTTTTTTGGCATTGTACGGATAGTTACTTACTAAAATGTAGAATACCTAAAGGTACGTTTAAATACAAATCTAAATATTTACGAACGCTCGTGTTCTCCATTTCTTACTCTGAAAATGAAACCGAGTTCGCCAGAAATCGCCAGTTTTAATTTACAAGCCTGGAGATTGTGTCTAAACACATCTTAAGATGAGATTAATTTATCTATGTTTTGTTCATTTTTAACAAAGTTATTGTAGTATTAATGGTAAGGTTTTTTTGGATAATCTTTTAGTCATTACAATGTTTGTGTTAAAATTAAATAGGTATTTTGAACTTTTTATTAATGATGCTATAGTCTAGTAGTCTTTGATACATAAATATTATACTTAAAATATTAATTTAATCCAGAATGAGTATGTTTTTCTTGTCACGTCTTATCTGAAATAACATTGTCTATTTCTTATTTGGTAATTATTATCGTTAGCTTGAGCCTTGAACTGTTATTTGTTATTTCATCTAAATAGCCGCAATTAGGTACATTTATATAATTACAATCTCTGGAAATGATAGTGGAAATCTGAATAATAGCTTGCTAAGTTAATTCTAGAGGTCATTCGCAGTAAAAAAATTAATATAGACATTTTTTAATTCTCAGAGGAGTTCAAGAAATTTACCATTTTATTAATGTGTTTAAACTACCTGACCCATTAACTAAACCCATTTATGTTTAATCTATGCAGTGGAGTGACTCAGGTTCAGCAAATATTTTTTTCAGATTTGGCCTATACTGCTTCAGTTTTAAAAAAGGTAATTTGCACGCCATTGAATCTTTTGCCTATTCCCAACTTTACTCGATTCACAATATTAATGATAACTTCCAAAAACTATCGAGGCTAGAATAAATCGCATTAAATTCTTACTTAAACAACGTTTCTTTTTGTTTACTGTTTAGTAAAAGACATGAGGACAATTCGAAAATGTCTACAATAATTGAATGTCACGCCAGTACTTTAAAATGTATTTTAACTTTAATTGCAAAACAATTTACAGTTTTTCCGTTTACAAATAAAAAATAAAAAAAAAACAAATTAAAAATTAAAAATTTAAGGGCAGTTTAACAATTCTGAAACTATAACTTAAGTTTTATCTATACTTAAGTATAAATACTTATTAATAATTACTTTTATCTATACTTTTAAGCATATATGATGCAAACGATTAACTAATTAACTGCAGAACCTACGTTAGAATTTTGTGGACTTTACACGTAATATTTATACTAGTTCGTTTTAAATCAGCTTCAGAAGCGACGGGCGACTGAGCCCGGGGTGTGAGAGTGATTCCCCCCCCCCAACGTCTCTAAGGATTTGGGCCACTCGAGTTAGATTCATTATTTTTGTGTAAAATAATCATAGAGGATCAATTTTTATTTGATTAATTTTTTCCCCATGTCCGTCCCTGCTCAGATTGTCGACTTTCCAAATTTAAGATTTACCACCTTGTCTATGAATCTATGCAATAAAGTCAAACTCAAATATTGACATGCATGACATTTGTATATTGTATATACTACAATGTACAACAAGGCTAAATTCATTGATTAGTTGTAATATTATTTACTATGTAGTTTTCTCACAATAATTATTTTTTATTCGTGTATTTATAAGTAGATATTAGTTAACCTTTCGTAGAATTATATGACTAATTGGAATAACATGTGACCTTGAACTAAGAGAAATAATAAAAAATGTTTATTATATAAATAACACATTTTATTTATTTGCATATGTCCATCATAATAATTTACAAGTACCATGATATATGGACAATTAAAGTCACTGACCGGGATGGCCACAGCTTAACCAAATAAATTGTTTTTAGAAATATATAGAAAAATGTTATAAAGTATTAAAGTATTAAATAGTAAAGTAAGTATCAAATAAAATATTAATATATATATATATATATATATCAAAATTATATCAAAACTAATTACTATTAAAAATTGTAAAAAAATAGAATTATGAAAAATATGAATTAAGCGATATGTTTAGGGTTATGGCGAGATTTAAATGTGAGATTGTGTTCACCGGGTTCTAGTATTATGTGAAATTCTCCATCCATAATAGTGTTCAGTTGTTCTTCAGATAACTTATTATCAACGGATACGTCGAATTTGTGTATTATATTACCGCCAAATAAAAACAACATCCAATACGCCAACATTTCTCCGACACAAACCCTTTTTCCTGAAAAAAAAAAAAAAAAACAACAACAATAACTTAGGATTTCGATAGAGATACAAGACGCACCCACATGGTTTTTAACTTGTACGTACCGGCTTGAAATGGCATGTACGCTTTATTGGTAACGATGTTTCCGTCGGCATCGAAAAATCGTGTCGGGTCATAAACGTGTGGATTCGTCCAATATTTCTCATCGTAATGCATGGCCCATTGCAACGGTACGATCATTGTACCTTTCGGTATACGGTATCCCGAAATTGTTGTTTCTTGGGTCGTAGCACGAGGTATACCCGAAGGAGCCACTGGACGCATTCGCATTGATTCGTACACGCATGATTTTAATAAAACAACGTTTTCTACTTTTTCTAGATCTAATATTTCATTATTAGTACATACTCTGTCTAGCACGTTGTATAATTCGTTCTAGAAATAAACAAAAAGAAAATCGTAATTGTTATCTAAATCAGTGTGACAAGTGTATTTAAGCGATACCGATTTAGACATATTATTTTCATGGTTTATCGGTAAATAAGGAAAGTGGTTAATTACTTACTTGAATTGGTTTGTTTAGAGCCATGTAAAGTAGGAACCATCGTAATGAATTGGCCGTTGTATCGACTCCAGCCCCGAGGAGGTCGGATAAAAGATGATGACATTGTTTTTTTGAAAAAAAGTTTAACTTATCGTCGTTTTCTTTTTTCTTCATCTCTTTCATAAAAGCCGCCATTAAATCTTCACTTCCGTCTAAATCGTTAATTCTCTTGTCCATCAACCGTTGGTAAATTAAATGCGTGTTTTTAGCACCCTGCACTACATCTGCCATAATTTTCCTATATTTAGGCACAATCCTTAAAAAAAAAAATCCATTTCATTAGTATTAATATAGGTTTTTTTATTATACAAATATATTTATATATATATACTTATACTATATTATTAATCTAACTTTAGAAAAGGCAATACACTCATTGGAGTAGCTATAGCAAATTTCTTAGTACCGTCTGCAGCTAAAAAACGCAAATAAGTCCATGAAGGGTGATCTACCGGCCAATTTTGCCCCAGCACGATTCGGTTGAAAACATGTCCGGTATAAATTAGCATGAGGCTCGCAGTGTTTATTGGTTCGCCATTGGATTCTCGTAGTTCCTGTTAAAATACCATTTTCAAATATTATAGATCGTCGTCAATATTAGGTGATATAGCGCAAGGTAATTGTCAACATTTTTGCCACACACCGAAATCAGTAATGTGACCGATTCAACAATCAACATTTGTAAATCATTTTTTTTGTCTCCAAATTTACTCATTCCTATTGTCTTCAACCACTTGCAAATAAATTGACGCTGTTCTTTCCATAATTCTCCTTGTGCAAATATGATGCCTGAGTTAAAATATCTGGCGTTAACACAATTTTTGTAATGCTTGGTTTTTCATTATAATATCTACCGTGCTTTTCCATGACTTTGTTGATAACTTCAAAATTAGTCCTATCTTTTAGATCATTATGCGCTAACGCCGCCCGCAGTATTGATGGATCAGATAACACTACTGCGAAATGTTTTCCTAACTGTATGCTATACACTGATCCATACTTGCGGGATAGTTCCGTAAACGTTTCATAAGGTTTCGAAGGATTCAGCCAAAGTATATAGCCAAAAATTGGGATGCCCCAAGGACCCGGTGGCAAGTTTCTATTCGACAGCCACAGTTGAATCAGAAATAAAGAACTTGCTATACAAACACCGATTAGCCACATCATCATTACTATTATACGACACCTGTTAATCAGGCAAACAAAATTTTCATTATTAATTAAATTAATCAATAAAATGGTAGTACATGTATAGTACATAGGCGATATTATATAATAAACTTAAAAAATCATTAGATGCTACTTAAAAAGTTTATACTTTAAATATCATCCACCACTTTTCATTAACCACTAATACACCCGTACAAAAAAAAAATTATAATAACATAGAACTTAGGAAGATAATTTCACAAGTATATTATGTTTCTCAATTATATATTTTTCTACGAATATTAAATAAATTGGAACAGTTTGTTTGAATCTATGTAAAGTTGTAAACAATAAACAAAAATATAAAAAAACTCGTTGTATAATTGAGTATTTAATATAGTTAAAAAGATAGTATAACATATTATATTGTAACATACATAATATTATAATTAAATAAATAGTAAAAAATTATAGTGTTAATATTAAGTCTAATATCCTATATCTATACTAATATCCTAAATATATTAGTAATTTAGAATAAAAATAATTCATTTTTATATAATAATTTTTTCAAAAATTACTAATGAGAGAAAATGGGTTATTAAGGGTACAATTGTTTAATTTATGTTAGAATGTGATAAGGGGTAACACAGAATCATGATCCGACACTCAATAGCTAAGTACTAGTATTATCTGTGATTTTTTTTGGTTTATTTTTACTTAATAAAATAATAAATAAACAAAAATAATATTTTATTGCAGTCTAATGATAAAATTAGTAACCAAGTTATATAAAATTAATAAAATATTATTTAAATGTCGATGCTATGCTTTTGTTATTGCTCAAGAGCAAATTTAAAAATTTAAATAGTTTGTTTCCTCACATATTTAAATCAAATACAAAAAAAATAGCTATCAAACTAATTATAATAACATAGCCTTAAATTTTTTTTTTTAATTTAGACAAAATATTGTCTATTATTTTAACTACACTTATCACTGATTAAAGGGAAAATGACTTACGTACTACTAACAGAAAATAAATTAGGAAATGGGGTTTATAAAGATTGCTAACAAATTACTAAAACAAAATAATTGATTTAATAAAATTCGATACTCTTTTACCTATTGTTTATTCATATTTTGCGGATTTTTGATATGAATTTTTTGTTCATCAGTTTAAATCTTAAGTAATTTACAACGTATGTTAAGATTTAAGGCACACAGAATACCAAACATATTGATTGCATACACGAGAGGTAAAATAAATAGAATTGTAATTATTATGTAGTGCACGAGTATAATTAATATTACTACAAGTAATAATACTGAAACTCGTATCATCCTATTTGGTGACAAAACTATTATTCAGTTGACATTACCTGATAAAAATGTACAAACATATAAATTTATAAAATGTTTGTAAACAAATTTTAAATAAATGTTAACTAACTGTCATATCGTCAACAAAACAGGCTTTCAACTTAACTTAAAAATTCAGATGTATAATAATATTATGTAGTATAATGCATACGTTACTTGAGGCTACAGTGCACGAAATTCGAAGACAGATTTTTAACCACGACCAACCTTCCTCGGCACTGCGTTGCTGCATACTGTATGCCTAATCATATTTTTCAGAATTTTTTATCGAGTGTCACCGTCTAAAATGATAATAATGCAATGTTTTAGTTTGTTGTTCAGCACTTGGCAGAAGTGTCGTGGAATGAATTATGAAAGAAAAGTTTTTTTTTTAAACATATACGATGTACTTATTTAACTTATTTGATGTCATAATACATATATAATAATTTTTAGAATCTTCGAGAATTCTCGAACAATACTGAATACATATTATACACATTGTACAAATTAAAAAAACACATTTGGTTCATTATTAATGATATTAGTTTTTTTTTACTTTAATGACAATGAAAAAAAAATGTACAGGAAATAACGTTTTAATTGAAAACGTAAGTCTGATTGTGTAATAAAGGTGAATGAAATTGTCCAAGGTTTCTTAGAACATTGATCTTAACAGTCAACAGCGAATTTGAATAATAAATGCACATCTATCAAGGCTTCGTGCGAGAATTTTAAAAAAAACGTCAGATTTTTCAGTTTATGACACTTTGAGTAACGTACTTTGATATGAAACAGCTACGCACATATATTAATTGAAAATAGCTAGTTTTTTTGACAAGTAGTTAACCTCGAAATTTAAGTTAAGCCTACTGTTGCAATTTATGCTTCACGAGGTCTCAAAAACAGTTTTTTTTAATGTGGTGCTATTATATTTTATGAATAGAGTAAATTTGATATTGATAACAATGGTACCACTAAATTTGCTAGATTATTCAGTACCACTGGTTACTGAGACATTTGATATAATTTATACTCTACCGACATAATCGTTATTTATTCATTAAATGTAGGTTGTAACACTTTGAAACGATTTAATTTTGGTTTCTTGTTGTTAAATGCAAAATAAGATATTATGGTTATTATAATTTATACGCATCGATTTTATCAATCTCTAGTGAAAAAAAACATCAGAAGAGTTACAATTAATAACTCGTAATTGTGTCCAAAGTAATGTTGGTCAATTCAAAATATAAATGTCAAAGAACCACGACGAATAAAAAATTATAGTTAAGCATAAAAACAAGTAAAAAATAAGTGGATTTCATTAATTACGCGAACGGTGCGAAAAAGTGTAATTAATAAACAATAAACATGGTACGTTCAGAGTCTTATTTTGCATGGTAACGTTCTCATAATTTATAACTAAAATTTGTTACTTTTTTTTTGTAGGAGCATAATATTAGTATCGGTTACACGTGTAAGTCGTAGGTTGTGTCGATTCACAAGTGCGGCTTTACTATTTTTTTTTTTTTTTTTTTAGAATAAAGTTGTTTATGTTTGACATACGCCGCCGTACCATGTGAAATTACTATTACTATTAAACTGTGCGTTACTACCATGTGAGAACTCCTAAAACCGTTTTAATGGGAATGATAACGCTGCGGGCATCGAAAAAACCTTGAAAAAATAATCATGAGGCTCGCGGTAAGGTCGTCTGTAAGAGTCTTGTCTGGTACAAGCCAGATCCGGTTTCACTTTCATTGATGTAAACAAGTCTTGTTGTAAGTACACGAAGGGCCCGCAATTCTAAGAAATCGGGTGCAAAGCAAACACGTTTACAACTCACCCGGGTGAATAGACGGTATGGAATTTTGATTGTTCTCACGAGCCCAAAGAGACAAAATATTTACCCGACCCGTGCGGTAGGAATTCCTGCGTCCCTATGAATCATTTTCGATTAGAGGTGTATGTAATGTAAAACGAGCATGTTTTTCTAAACGCTGACACATCACAACGGAGGGAAGATTCAAACGCGAGATACGTGCGGTTGCATATTTCCATGCAAACGCCAACCGATATCTGTGAAGATTACTCATACCTACGTTTACGCCGGTCAGGTAGGTAGGTGCACCGAATATGTTATAGGTACCTTTGGAAATTAAATGATCGAATTGGACAATTATTTTACACGTCGTTGTGTGTACAAGGAAAACAATTTTGTAGCACTTAATTTATCGCCGTGCTAGTTGGAAACAGTATTGTCCAATGGTGGAAATGCATATATGTAGTAATCGTTGAGCAGGTGGCTATAACGATCAATAGTCGATATTGACTACCTCAAACAGCGACGGCGCCAGACATTCTTCACCGGTGGCCATAGCCGAACGGTTCCAATGGGCGTCTACAATATTTAAGATTTTTCGTTTCCATCCCTTGTGGATTTCATAACAATTTGCTTTTGGGCTAATGCCTACGTACAATTATTATTTGGACACGATAGTGTACTATATTATATACGTGGAGGCATTTAGTGATGGCAGCGAAAACTCTAAAAGAGCATTAAATACCATTTTGACATTTCCATAATAAAATGAATAGTGTGCCATATGATTTTATACCAGAAAAAAATAGAAATCTCATTCAAATTATAAATACTAATTCTTAAAATATATTTCCAAAGTTTGCGTTCAGTGTTATTAATCCCGTATGTTAGATTTGTCAGTCAGTCAGTAAAACACGTTACACCAGTTAAATTTATTTAGCGTCATCGGCACGAAAACAAAAACTTTTTTAATTACCAGCAAATGTCTAAAATGTGTCTTTAGTTATGTCTTACTCTAGCTGTATTTTGGTTAATAATTTGGAATTAATCTGACCGATGACTTTACAAAATTGCAATTTGATAAATACACACATACACAGCTGTAATGAAAAAATTGTTTTTTCTTAAAACAAGTGATTAATTATTATTATCGTATTATCTTGACTGCCTTAGCCTCTACATTTTTCTGCACCCCTCACTCTGTACATTCCAAAAAAATTGTTGGATTACAAAGTATTGAACGACCGAACTTGAACTAATAACCTTGAAAATTTGGATTAGCATATAGGACGACTGAAATCAATAGCATAAATTTAAAAACAAGGTCAAATGTGATGTTTCGTATAAATATTTGTCTCGAACACAATTTGTAACATAACCTAGGATAATGAGAAGCGGTTATTTAGAATTTGATTTTAAGCCTACCTTTACTTGTTTTTGTTCCACGATACATCCCCTAATATCGCTACATTCTTAGATACGAGATCTACTTGATTACCAATCCATTATTTCAAAACATAATTTAGATATTTTGTTATTTGCCTACTTTAAAAAAAAAAAAAAAACAAGACAGCAAAAAAATGTGATTTAAAATTATTTATTAAGATCTTTGTATATTCTTTGTCTTATTTATTAAGATCTTCAGTATATTAAAAACCCAATGTAATCCATTTCATTTAACAAAAAAAATTGTTGAATAATAATTATGATTATAACGCATTCAAATCCTGTTCATTAACATTCCGTGTAGTTTTCACTTTTTATTCTTTAAATGTGTGTACATCTACTTTTCTGAAAAAAATTACTTTTACTTTTTCCTTTACAATTGTAAGTGAGATTCGTCTGTCCAATAGGTTCACTTCGATTATAGGATAATTTCATACCGATGGGTAGATTATTTTAGTTTAAAGTTTTTTTTTTTATGTAGGCCTACACGGTTTACTGTTTAGGTATCGATTTAAGCACAAAAGTTGTTGCATTTGGTTCAGATGGGTTTTATCTAAATTGTATATTTTAATATTAATATTTAAGTATATTTTTCTAATTTTCCAATTAGGATCGTGTACGGAAATCGAAAATGAGGAAGCGATGCAGTGGACAATTTTACGTGGAGATCTTAAGCCACACGGACTTCAGAGAAATCGGGATGAATGCAACATTGTGGTACCAGCAAACCGATTGTGTGCGTAGTTCATGGACATGTTGTCGAGACAAGCGTGGCATCCCATTCGGACCTTGGGATGGACGATCGTATATTTACTATATGGCGGTACCTACTACAGGTGAAGGCGTTTCTGATGTGCCGCAAAAATAAAACGCGTATCAATTTTTTAGATACGCAATTGATTATCACCTCTACATTTCTTCTCTATACGATGTAATGTGTTTACATTAATTTCGCACTGTTGAGCCACAGGAGTTCGCCCCTTTCGGGCCTCAAACAGGTAACTAAAAATAACGATGGGCGGCGGCGCCAGGACGCGTTTCTTGATGAAATTCCATTAGTCAAATAATGTGTAATGTAAAAACAATGTACTGTGACGTAAAAGAAACAAGTCGGGTGTGAAAGAACTACGCGAGTTTTAATCCGAGATCGACAACATTTTGCACTAATTAAATAACAACAATTAATGCGAGTAAAAAAAAAAAAATGATCGGACCACTTGTTTATAAATTTGTTGTATTTTTTCTTTCTTTCAAAAATGCCCTTTTGTCTGTTAGTTGTAGCGTAATTCTAAGCACTTGCGTACATTAGAAATGTTTAATAGAAATAAAAATCCACAGCACTACAATGTTACTCGACGTTACAATATTTTACAAATATATTAGTTTAGAAAGGGCGGAGCCGCCTATAAAGAGTATAGGCGCAATTTCAATAAAAAAAGCTCTGCATTTTTTAGGTACTTAAAATTTAGTTTTAATTAATGAGGGTAATAGTTTTGTAGTAGGTGAGAGCCACCTGAAATTGGTAAATGATACTGAATTATATAAATACTGTTATAAACTCTGCAAAAATGTTTTGGTTTTTTTTTGTATTAAACATTTTTATAAGCAGAGGTGCATGAACACGAAAAATATCAGAGGAGCTTATTTTAAAATTGGGGGTGCTAATACCCCCTAAGCTCCCCCTAATTGCGCCTATGCTTAAGACTTATGGAAAGCGGCGCCGTGCCAGTTCGCGCTGACTTTGTAGTAGGCCCGTCCCTATTTAGTCACATGTGTTTTCATTGGATTTTATCACGTACATTTTTACTGGCAACCGCGCTGCGCCGCTCCGTCCAAGTGGACTGTGAACGCGCAGCTTTAAACGCTAAATCCACAAGTAGACGGGGATTTTGGAACATCATTTACACGCTGAATATACGTACTTCTGAACACTGTCCCAAACATAACGTCAACAGTGGATTATTTTCCACACAACCAGTCGACACTAACACGATGTTCAGAAGTGTCAAAACTCCACGTGTATTCCACATTATGAATAATGTAATACTAATATGTGTATTCTATTCTGTGGAATCTATACGTATATAATATGTATTGTATACAATTTGCGAAAAAAATCTACTCATT